CATAGAAGCAGGGGAGAAATTGGGTGTCCACCTATCCAATCCCACCAAATTACCACCAATAAACCAGGGGCCGCCCCTTAGCACTTCATTTCTAGCTTCCACAGAAGTAAAAATACATATAAAGCAATCCGCACCCAAAGAGGTGAGCTGAAACTCTCCAAAACTTCCCCATTGTCTTTGGATCTCAGATTTCAATAAGAAGAACGAAGCTCTTCTACCCAGAATCTTCCCCACCACTGCTCGGTCAAGCATCTCCATGTTATCTCTAACTCTGTCCAAGTTCAGATCAATGGAGATCCCGTCTCCTGAAATAGCATTGAAATCTTCTGGATGCAGGATCGGGACATGATCCGGCTTCTTCCACGGATTCCCCATACTAGCCGCAAATGAAACTCTCGGGGTCACCCCCTTCCCAAGGTTCTCCCCGCAGTTTACATTTGATTGTCCAACATCAACATTCCCACAAGCATCTGACGTGCATCCAATTGGCTTGCTCAAACCAGAGGAGATGCTCCCCTCTCCGATCACTCCTGCAACATCTTGTACAGATACCTCCATTTCCGTCACCGCCATTCCTTCCTCCACAGAAGCATCATTCATCACCTTATTATTCCAATCAACAACATCCTCACTCACCTCCATCGGACATTTCTGTCTCAGCATTGCAGCATTCACGTCAAATGTTTCTTCCATTACTTCACCGCTATCCTCGATCAGAGCTGTGTCTTCAACTTCCATAGAAGAGGCCGACGCAATGAACATTGGGTTGAGTTTCAAACTCACACCCGATCTCGATTCCAGCTCCATCGTCTCCCTCTGAGGAGGATCCTCCCTCCTAGCTCGATTAGCTTTGTTCTGGTCCGATCCATTCTTCCCGATCTGTAGAATCCCTTTGGGATCCATATTTCTCGGTTTCACTTCCCATTGACCTTCCACCGATCCCACCGATCCAGATTTTGCAGCTTCCCGAGCTTTCCCTCTCGTCTTAGCCATCACGGGTTTGCTGGGAGATCCAGCTCCCGAACGATCGCCTTGCTTCTTAGAACCGCCAGATCCCACTCCCGATCGTCGTCGCTCTTCACCGCCAGTCGCACTGTCACCACCGCCCCCGCTTGAGCGGGGGGGGAGACCTTTGGTCGCCCCCCGCCATCCCCAAAGCTTCTCTTACTACAAATCGCCTAGAGAGAGAAAAAGTCGGGCGGAAATGACGCTTACGACGGGGAGAGGGAGAGCGAGAGAGAGATGGGGAGGGAGGGAGAGAGAGAGAGAGAGAGAGAGAGAGAGAGAGAGAGCTAAAATCCTGCATTTTGCATTAAAATGAAGTAAAGCTATTACAAACTATCATCGAAGTAAAGCTATACCCTATCACTCTCCTCCCTCAACAAAGCTAACAATGTTGCAGGGAATTCACTATTATCCACATCAAAAAAAGTAAACTCATTCCCAAGAGCAAGGTGGGCACAAAAGTCAGCCACACGATTGTTATTCCTATGCGTATATTGAAAAAGAACTTGTTTAAACTCCTGAAGAAAAGTTGTATCCGGTCCTGCCACCCTACGATGGATCACATTTTGGCGATCGTTCAGCCTCTGCAGCCACCTGATTGCGTTAATACAATCTCCTTCTATAATGATTCCATCCAGCTCAAACATCCAATCCATGAAGACCTCACGGATTGCCATTGCTGCCAACATTTCTGCCTGCAAAACATCCCAGTGTTCGATCCTTCTCCCCGCAGCAACAACCAATTTCCCATAATGATTCCGAGCTATAACACCCAAGCCAACCTGATTAGAGGGAAGTAGTGCTGCATCAAAATTAAACTTCAGCCAACCTGGAGGGGGAGGGCACCAAAGCTTGTAAGACGGCAACCCCAAGGGTTGATTAGTACCCCATTGCTCCAGCATTGGCCATTTAAATGGTTTTGGCAGCAGAGAAAGCACCGCAGCAGCAATAATAGAAGGAGATCTACACATATTATGGTGCTTCATATCATTCCGGGCTCTCCAAACTTGATATACTGTATAACAGTAAATCCTTCCCATGCTAGGTTTATTCTCAGCATACTTCAGCAATTCAACCTTTAGATCCACCAGGGAATTAACAATGGGCAGATTAAACCCCCATTTGCAAAGAATTTTCATCACCTGCTTCAACTTAGTACACCTGGCCGAGCAATGATCTAAATTCTCCTCCTCATTACATCCCCACGGGCATAGAGATGTATCAGCTAAAGTTCTTCTATTCAACCAGTGAGTGGTTGGAATGGCATCCCTCAATAATCTCCACCAAAAGAAATGTTCACGTGGGTGTAGTTTCAGTTGCTTCAACCAATTGAATTCATAGTTCCCTTTCTCCTCCCAATCTCTATAATCCATAGCCGTAACTGTCATACTCAACCTGGAATAGATGAGCTCCGGGTTATCCTCCTGACTCTCATTGGAGATATTAATGGCTAAAATACGTTCAACCATAGTATTCCCAAAACACTGCTTAACCATCTCTGCATTCCATTGAAACGAGTCATTCAGCAAGTTACAGACCTTCATATTTTCCACTTCTTCAATGTTAACAAATGTTGGCCACTTAGCAATATTACGATTCATAATCCACACATCATGCATCACATCAATTTGGCTTCCATCCTCAATGTTCCACATGAGGATCGGTCTCAACACCTTAGCACCATCTTGGATCACCTTCCAAGTAACAGAGACTTTCTTCCCATAATCATATTCCCATAACTTCATACCATACTTTGCCATCAACACCTTATAAAGAGGAGAGTCCTTATTCTGAATGAGATCCCACACCACCCTTGCACGCAAGGCCCCCTTCCACTGAGTAAGACAGTGAAAGCCAAGCCCCCCGAACTCAGTTGGTTGGCACAATTCCTTCCACCCAACGTAATGCATCCCACGACTGCTAGCATCTTTCTGCCATAAAAACCGCCTCCCCATTTTTTCAATAGCCATCAGAACTCCATTAGGAATAGAAGTATGGGTCATAGCATACATAGGAACAGATAACAATGAAGTTCTAATCAAGGGGACATCCTTGTCGCAGCCCACTCTTAGCATCAATCCACCTTGTCCTGTTCCCATTCATCAGCAAAGTGAACTTTGGCTCAAAAATACACTGCATAACCCAAGTGATAAATCTCTTCTTGAAGCCCATCAAATTCATAACTTCCTGCAGTGTTTCCCATGACATACAATCGTACGCCTGCTCCATATCAATCTTCAAAGCCATAAGTCCAGATTTCTGGTTAGAGTACTTAAACTTACTCATCATTTCCTGTGCCATCAGCCCATGACTGGAAATAGATCGACCTGGAACAAAAGCCCCCTGCTCCTCACTGATGACAGTACTCAGCACAGGTTTTAGGCGGTTGATCAATACTTTAGCAACAATCTTATAAAAAGATTGACATAAACTTATCGGCCTAAACTTTGATGGCATATTAGCATTCTCCATTTTTGGAATTAACACCACAAGGGTTTCCTTCCAGCTCTGGCACATCACATTAGTGGCAAAATAATGCAGAATAGCACTAGTCACGTCTTTATTTATAATCTCCCAATAAAATTTCAAAAAGGAAGAGGTTATACCGTCAATCCCTAGCGCTCTGTTACTGCCCATACTAAACACAGCTTGACGAATCTCTGACTCAGTAATTTCAGCCTCCATACTATCACTGTACTGTGCAGGAATCATATAATGGTTACCGAATTCAGGCCAATTAGCCAGGGATACCTACCTGTCTCTCCACTTCAGCATGAAGAAATTCCAAAATTCCTCCTGAATGAGGTTCTGATCAACAATCCTCTCCCCATTAGAATTTACAACTTCTATGATACGATTACCTCGCCTCCGAGCAGACGCAAAGGAATGGAAAAAATGCGAGTTTGTATCACCTTCATCAATCCATATGGCTTTTGCTCTCTGCTTCCACCAAGTTGCAAGCCGAGCTAGAGTAGTGTTCAACTCAATTGCCTTCAATCTGAGCTCTTGTTCCTGTTCCTCATTCAGCCCATTAGGAGAACAATCCACCAGTTGAAGCTCCTCAATACGGTTTTCCAGAGAAATTTTTAGCTCATTAAGTTCTTTCAGTCGGTTACGACTCCAAAAATACAAAGCCTTCATAGTTCTGCTGCACTTGCGATACACTACCTCATCAGGCCTTCCAAAGTCCTCCCTGTTCCAATTCTTCCAAACAAGCCTCCAAGTGACAGGGTAAGTCATCCATATATCTTCAAAACGTATCCATCTGTTCCCAGGTCTCGGTTTCTCAGCAAAAAGGTTCACCATCAACGGACAATGGTCTGAAGTCAGCCGAACCAAATGTTTAACAACTGCAACCGGTGCCTGTCTCAGTCATTCAGAATTCATTAGAATTCTATCAAGCCTCACCCAAATCTTGCTTAGCCCAGATTTATTATTAGACCACGTATATTTGGGACCCAAAAATCCCAAATCATGTAGATCATTATCTACCATGAACTGAGCCATCTCCTGAGCCCCCACTGAGAAATTAAATCTCCTCCCACCCTTCTTCTCGCTTTGGTTTAAACAGCAATTGAAATCTCCCCCCACAATCACAGGGAGATCAGAAGAAACCAACGGACCAATAGTATTCCACAGCAACCGTCTACTATGATAACCTTTAATAGCATATACCACAACAATAGTCCACCTTTGCATATTAGGGAAAGTAAGATTCCCAATAAGCACCTGCTCCATGTTGCCAATAACTTCAAACTTAGAAACACTCTTCTTCCACAAGGCAATCAATCCACCAGATCGACCATTCGCAGGGGAATGAAAAAAATCCCATTCATTCCCAATTAAACGATCAACCTCCAGTCTGCTCATGTCCATCACCATGGTTTCAACCAGCCCCACAAAACAAACCTCATTGTTACCAACGAGGCTACGCAGGTAATAGCCCGTTTGTTTCTTCCGGGCTCCCCTGCAGTTCCATATCAGGATTGAAGACATTAAAAAACAAATGGGGAAGCGTCCCCGCCGCCATAATCAATAGGAGAATCCTCTCCACCATTAGTGATGTCTGTTAATTCCTTCCTCCTCTTCCTTGAAGACTCCGTAATAGGTCCCAATTGACTAAGTTCTTTCATAAACTTAAATCTATTGGTCTTTGGCAAGGGAGGTGGCATACCTGCCGTGAAGGGTAGAGGTTTCTTAAAACCCATTTTGCTCTGTTTATGAGTAGGTCTCAATGTGCTCTGAGGAGCTTCAACCTTCCCCAAATCAACTTGTTTGAGATTACCCTGTAATTGTCTATTGTTGTTACCAACAAAATTCCTCCCAGAAGGTCTCATATTTCTTCTTCGTCTAGGGGGAACCTGAATCCACGGTCCCACCTCCTCATCATTCTCCTGATCACATTCCTTCCCAGTGGAAGTTCAGGCAATAGCTCCCTGCTTAACATCCTTCCCTCCTTCCACAATTCTGTTGTCTTCCCCCTTTCTATGACCACCTCCTTCAATTTTGATCACAGGATGAGTAACTGTCCTGGTTTGTACCTTTTCAGCACGCTCAATCCTTCCTGAGGACTGCTCGGGGTTCTTCACAGTTGGCTCATTCTGTTTTAACTGCTCTCCTGCTTTCCTCATCCCGCCATCCCCATGACCACCATCCTTCAAAGGACAATGATCTCTCCTATGGCCAATTTTACCACAGCCGAAGCACATAATGCCAATGCCTTCATATTCCACCTTCTGATAGAACCTCCCGTTCCATCCTTTGACCCACACTCCCACCTGAAGTTTATTTGCCATATTCATCCGCACACATACCCGAGCATACTCTCTTCTTCCCCAGTTTGCTGTCAATGCATCAATCCATAGAGGAGTGCCGATCTTCGTGGCGATCCGAGCAATATTGCATTCATCCCAATATTGCAATGGGAAGTTGGGTAATCGTATCCAAACCGGGGACGACAGTCCCTCCATAGAAGCTGGGGAGAAATTAGTTGTCCACCTATCCAATCCTACCAGATTACCACCGATAAACCAGGGGCCGCCCCTTAACACTTCATTTCTTGCTTCCACAGAAATAAAAATGCAGATAAAGCAATCCGCACCCAATGAGGTGAGCTGAAACTCCCCAAACCTTCCCCATTGTCGTTGGATCTCAGATTTCAACAAGAAGAATGAAGCTCTTCTACCCAGAATCTTCCCCACCACAGCTCGATCAAGCATCTCCATGTTAGCCTTGACTCTGTCCAGGTTTAGATCAATGGATATCCCATCTCCTGAAATGGCATTGATGCTCTCTCCAGGGCCATGCTAGGACTCCCGGTTGACTGATTGCGGTCTATTTCCAGGTGCTTAATTGCTTAATTTTGTATCGTGTGCAAATGAATCTCATCTGCAGCTTTGGTCGACTTCTCTCTCTCAGGATATACTCCCGCCGACTGATTAGCCGGTGACGTTGATTGTCGCGAAGCTATTCAATCATTAGTGGCCGCTAGGCAAGTGAGCAATTTGGTGGAGTCGGGTTGGACGCGCCGCTTTCCACTGATGAGGTGCATTGATGGTCTATGGGGACACCGTAGAGTGCTCCTTGCTACACGTTGTGGGTCGCACCTGCAAATATGTAGTGTACCGTCCTATTTCCGTCTATTCGAGTTCTCTTCTCTGCACAGATTGCAGAGTTCATTTCAGATGCGTTTCTGATTCTTACGAGTTCAGCAGTCTTCTGTGGACCTCTAGCTGGATTGGTGCTCTCGTCACCTCAGAATGCGATAATTGCGCTTCTCGGTGCGGTTGGTGTGTTTCCCTGGTAGGCTTTCTCTCTCCTAGGGGCATTTAGAGTCCTTCCGGTATTTCAGGCTAGCGGTGTTTTATCTACCTCTACATAGAAGAAGTGGTACACTTGAAGAGCTAGATAAAATATATTTAAATTTTGAGATTTTATCAATATTCGAGGATTTGGTTCAAAACTCACTCATACTTCGACTCTCAATGATATGATCTTGAGCCTACTTCTCATCGACTCCTTTCCTTCTAGCGCGCGTGAGAGGTTCGTTTCTCTGTATTCTTTATAGCTGCTCCACAGCTTTGTTCTGTCCGCTATCCTGTTCGTCCCGATTGTAGATCCCTGGATCTATTCTCGTGTTTCACTGCCTATGAGTCCATTCCACAAGCTCGATCCTACCCTGATCTCAGAATTAGCTACCATGCTCCGAAGCTTTCCCGCGTGTCTATCTGAGATTTTTCTGCCATCCGTGTTTTCTGCGAAGAGATCAGTTATCCCGATCGGTCGCTTGCTTCTTTAGAGCCGCCTGCTTATCCATTTCCTTCCGTTTCGTAGAAATTCTAATATGTAAACAATGATTACAAGTTCTTCTTTTCTTCATGTTATTCGCTCTCCGCCAAGTGGGCAACAGGTACCGCGACCCCGCTTGTGACTAAAGATAGAAGCATACCTAAAAGAAGAGACACTTCTAATCCTCTCGATATTATGATTACTTTTTTGGATAGATGTTCCACATGGAGGACATATATACCCAACAGTGGTGGGAGCGGACCTTTCTGTTGGCCCCCGTCCTAGGATTTTCTCCCAGAGGTTCTTTTGCACGTTCAAGATTCGCTGCGATAATGGTAGGATGCGCAAATTGAGGGAAACACGCATATATGTAGATGGGTGGTCGCAGATGAAATACTGAGATGAGTGGCGATGACGCCAAGAGAGAGTCGAACTGGAGAGAAAGGGGGATGCCTATTTATAAGTTTGGGAGTGTCATACTCCGTAAATATGAAAATGCAGAAAACGTTGAGGATGCTTGCCATCAAACACCATTTAATGCCTTTTTGATTCATAAAACTTTCACCAGTTGATTAAATGACTTATGATATCCAAAATTGAGTAATCTTGCTCATGGGATTCGTCTCGTCAAGACACTCTATTAACTATTAGCATGTTCTATTTTGGTGTTATTTGTATTTACTGACAATTAAATAACTTTAAAGCTTCCATATTTGCTTCAAAAGTTCCTTACGTTTGAGCCCAGTTGGACCTCAGGGATCTGGGCTGAATTTTGGAGGTGTCATTAGATTCATCTTATCGAGAGTAAGTTTGACTTTGAGGTTTCCTAAGATTAACATTTGGATAATCCCAAATTAAAATTTGAAAGTTTTTCTTTAGCTCAAATATTGCCTCGGCGATTTGGCATAGTTTAGTATAGATTTTTGTAAGAAACGTATGCAACATATATGATGCATAATGTTTGAGTTGATGAAGGATAATATACTGATAGGTACATGTATATTAAAAATGATGATATAGATTGTAATAGATTGTTATTCGGACTAATAATTTTAGGAGCTTACTATTTATTTATGTGACGTTCACATTAAAATAAGACTATATTAAATATCCATACAAGAAAATAGGTGAGGGAGACACTTCTGGAGGTGTATTTGAGGTTTAGCTCATCTAAAGTTACTTCAATTCATTCTATAAGTAGATGTATGTTTTGGGGTATGTTCAATAATCTAAGGGCGGCAGGAGCCGTCTACTCCCCTCATTTTGGACGATGGTTTTTATCCATATGAGGCAGGATCGAATGGCGAGATAATCTGAGGTTCAGCCTTCTTTCGTTTTCAATTCATCGCGAGGAAAAAGACCAAGTTCGATCTTTGCATTGCATTGCACTAATGTCGCAAGAGTCGTTTCGCCGCTAGATCTCTGAGATCCTCGTATGTATTGCACCTAAGGCTGGTTAGAACGCGAAAAACTCGAACGACCAGTACGTGTACCGAATGAGGGAAAGCTTTTTTCTTGGTGCTGAGAGCTCCCAAGATGAACTCATCTTTGAGCTCTTAGTTTATCCTCTCGATGAATTTTTTCCGTGTATACGCGCACCTAACGAAAGAAGATCGACCATGCAGCTCATGGATGCCACAAATTGAGTAGCTATCTACATAGGTTTTCGTTGGGACAGGTTGTCTTTCGGATTGCATTTGTGAAGATAGGGACGAGATTTCGTAAATACGCGCGATTTGTAAATGTGTTTATGAACGCTTAGGTTGTAATGAATTTTAGCGCTGAGGGAAGGCGAGGGTATAAGTTCGCGCCGCTAAAGCGCGCGAATTGCCTTTGGTTCTTCACCTTTAGTACCGCAGGATAGGCTTTAGAAGAAAAAAGAGAAAATAGTGATGGGAGAGATCTCAGCGAGCTTGAATACTGTTTATGGTGAATGAGAAGATAGGATATAGAAGCAGTATTGATTGGGTGACTGAGAGACTTGAGATGGTTTGTCGTTTGTATCATTTTAAATATTGAGTCTATTTGGAGATCTAGTATTGGCTAATGAGATTGTGTAGAGGAGAATTATACGGAGATTGATAAGATCATAGATGACCGTGGAAGATGGTGATATAAGTAGTTGATTGGGTCTTTTGTGTATAGATTTACGGAGAAGTGTGCAGTTTTTGAGATGATGTCTATTGTCAGATGTGTGAGGCAATGGGAGGGTGTTGCTTGAGAGGTGTTTTTTTAGTGAGATTAGAGATAGAGGAGGGAGGAGAGGAGAGAGAGAGAGGGTGGGAGTGGATTGATTTAGGGTAAGATGAGGGAGGTAGGTGTTGATATCTTTTTTAGTGACTGACATAGCAGCTAGATAGTTATCACTAGCATATGAAGATTTGAGGGAGAAAGATATGTGCGGAACGTGTATGTATGTTAGATCATCAACCATTTATGGTTTGATTCTTTTTTTTTTTCGAGTTTATATTGTGTGAGGTTTAAGGCGATTGGGATGAGAGAGAGAGAGAGAGAGAGAGAGAGAGAGAGAGAGAGAGAGCTGAATAGTGCATTTGCATTAATAAGTTAAGAAAACCAATACAACCAACAGTAAGAAAACAAAAAGCTACAGTCTATCACTCTCCCCCCTTAAAAGCGACAACAGCGTCGGGGGGAAGTCAACATCATGCGTATCTCTAAACAAAGTTACCCACCATAGCCAATTGGGCACAAAAGTCCGCCGGCCGGTTACTATCACGAGGAATGTGTTGAAAGAGGACTTGCTTGAACTGCATTAGAAACGAGAGGTTAGGCCCCTGAACCCGACGGTGGATCACACAATTCCGATCGCCCAAACCTTGCATCCACCTCACCGCATTGCTACAGTCACTCTCGATGATGATCCCATCCACCTCAAACATCCAATCCTCCAGCAAATCTCCAATGGCAGCCGCGGCCAGTAGCTCCACTTGCATAATGTCCCAATGCTCAACTTCACGACCAGCAGCAAGAATGAGGGCGCCATCACAGTTCCGAATCACAATACCCAAACTAGCCTTATAGGACGGTTGCAGCGAAGCGTCAATGTTGAATTTAAGCCAACCTGGAGGGGGGAACACCATAGCTTGTGAGGAGGCAGCCCGAGGGGCTGAATAGTGCTCCATTGCTCCAGCATCGGCATTTTAAATGTTCGCGGCAGCAGGGATAGGACCGTAGCAGCAATGACAGAAGGGGTTCTATACGACCGCCCGTAGCTCATATTGTTACGGGCACGCCATAACTGGTAAACCGCATAACAGTAGATCCTCCCAATTCCAGGATTCGAAGCAATCCCCTCAGCGAGCACCATCAAAAGCATATCCAACGAGCTCACATTCGGCATATTAAAACTCCACCTTCTCAGCGTGTCCATAACACAAACCAATTTGGAGCATTGAGCAACACAGTGATCCAGAGTCTCTTCAACATCACACCCCCATGGGCATATCGGCGAATCCACCAAGCCCCGCCGCAGCAGCCACACATTACACGGAATAGCCCCCTTGAGAACTCTCCACCAGAAAAAATACTCACGGGGGTGTAGCTTAAGCTTTTCGAACCAAAGAAATTTAAAGTCACCACCCCCGTCCATCATAGCCCCGTAAGCCATAGCAGCCACCGAGGAGCTAGCTTGCGAGTAACAGAGGTTTGGGCGGTCGTCCCCTGATCCTCGCAAGGTCGGAATGTCAACAATTCTTTGGGCTATAATTGTCCCAAAGATCTCCTCAACCTTCTCCACATCCCAATAGAAGTTCCGGTCCAATAACTGTCCCACCCTACCATCCTCAAGGGCCCCAGCATCAACAAAGGTCGGCCAACGAGCAATACACCGGTCCAGAATCCAGGTGTCCTGCAGCACATTGATCTCCTGGCCGTTACCAATCTCCCACCTAATAATCTGTCTGAGGGCCTTAGCACC